AAATTAATTATGGAAGTTGAGAAACACAAGGAGCTGTACGACCCCCGAAAAACATGATTGTTTACGTACCCATGTCGGAAGAAACTGCTAGGATACAGCTGCAGAATTGGAGCGGGTTCCAAGAGATTCAACTGGCAGAAACAACTCATACCATAGGTTCACACACACACGCGCGCGCGCGCACGCGCACAAACACTCAAACGTAGGAAAAGAGCTGAGAAAAGGCAGAGAGGAAATGGAGGACACCAAGTGTTTAAAAGAAAAACTACAGCTGAGCCGAGGCGCGCCTCGACTGGGGCGCGTCTGATCTGAACTGAGGAGCGGCGAGCAGCGGCCGAATTTCGTGAGCGATTCGCTTCTCGGCGCTTCGCGGCGCTTCCGCGGCCGGTGTGTCCCCGGCGTAACAGTCATGTTTTTGGACTGTGGGAGGAAGCCAGAGCCCCTAGAGAGAACACACGCATGCACAGGGAGAACATGCAAACACCATGCAGAAAGACCCCAGATCGGGATTTGAACCCAGGACCTTCTTGCTGCAAGCCAAAAGCACTGACCACTGCACCACTGTGCAGCCTTGGTGTAAAACCATGAACATGAAATGGTTATCCATGCCTTTATCTCCTCCCGTCTAGATTACTGTAACACACTCTTCACGTTTTAACAAAAAAGCACTTGACCGCCTTCAGCTGGTCCAGAACTCTGCAGCGAGGCTCCTAACTGGAGCAAACAGAAGAGCACACATCACTCCTATTCTACCCGTTAACTTTAGAGTTCATTTTAGAATCCTGATTATAACTTTCAATGCTCTACATGGTCAAGCTCCTCCCTATATTACTGAACTGTTAAAGCCTTATGCTCCAACCCGAGCCCTCAGGCCCACCCACCAAAACCTTCTAGAAGTTCCTAAGAACAGATATAAAAGTCACGGTGATCGCTCCTTCCATACTGCTGCAGCCCGACTCTGGAATGATCTTCCTTTATCCTTACGCAGCATGGACACCTTTAAAAAACAGCCAGACCCTTTTACTTAAAGATTTTTTTTACCTAAACCTTTTATTATTTTATTTTTAACTCAAATTTGTAGTCGTTCATCTGTTTATGAAATTTAAACTTTATAACTTATTTTTCTGATGTTAAGTTCTGTTTTGAGATCATTACGATTTTATGACTTAATGTTTTATTTTGTTTTGATTTATGCAAAGCACTTTGTGATTCTGTCTGTGATAAAGGCTACGTAAATAACATTCACTCACTTACTTACTTACTATACTCTGTTGGTAGCTAACAGAAAGGCTAGCAGTTTGCTTTTCCAGTTTGTCGACAAACCATCAAACAAGGTAAATGGCCTGTATTTGATAAAATGCCGTCTAGAGTCCCGGAAGCCCCCAAGGTACTTTACAACATAACCAGTCATTCATCCATTCACAATCTAACACTGGTGGTGATCAGCTACATTGCAGCCACAGCTGCCCTGGGGCGCACTGACAGAGGTGAGTCTGCCGAGCATTGGCGCCGCCGGTCCCTCCGAACACCACCAGCAGGCAAGGTGGGTTAAGTGTCTTGCTCAAGGACACAATGACAGAAACAGATTGAGTGGGGCTTGAACCTGCAACCTTCTGATTATCGAGCGAGCACTTAACTCCGTTGCCACATCACACGAAGAAGAAAAAGTACGTTGCTTGTTTTGACTGTCATGGCGAAGCCTGGCCATCAGAGAAAGAGAGTAATGTCTTTGGGGGCAAAGCAAAGAGCTAAAACAAAAGTGATTGATTTGGTTTGTTTCTGAACTGCCAGTATTCATACATTCATGAAAACATGCTAAATAAAATACCTTGTCTGACGACATCATCGTCTGCAGAGGGTCCAGCAAGGTTGTTTATGAGAGCCTAATTCTGTTTTCAACCAGTAGTGGGAAAGTGTGAAAAGTGTTTAACAACTCCAGTTTCAGACAGTTCCTACCGATGTTTCTGCAGGAAGTGCACCGGGCTGAGGAGGACGTGACAGCTGGCTGAAGCTGACGCTATCTGTGTTTACCAATCACCACAGAACTCTAACGCAATGTAAACATTTATTCAATAAACTGCAATGAAACTTCACCCTTTAATGTCTACACCAACAGCCTCCCTCGTCTCGTCTCGTCTTCTTTCGCCTATCCGGGTCTGGGTTGTGGGGGCAGCATCTCAACTGGGGAGTTCCAGACTGTCCTCTCCCTGGTCACCTCCACTAGCTCCTCCGGTAGGACCGCAAGGTGTTCCCGGGCTAGTTAGGAGATGTACTTTCTCCAACGTGTCCTGGGTTGACCAGCGGCCTCCTGCTGGCAGGACATGCCTGAAACACCTCCCTGGGGAGTCAACCAGAAGGCATTCTCATGCCAGCCGCTTCACACTTGGCTGCAAACCTCCCCAGCAAGAGCTGTAGGTCAGAGCCTGATGAAGCTAGGAGGACCCCATTATCCGCATAAAGCAGAGATGAGATTCTCCTGCCACCAAACTCCAAACACCACGGCTGCACCTAGAAATCCTGTCCATAAACGTTATGAACAGGACCGGTGACAAAGGACATCCCTGGCGGAGCCCAACCCTCACCGGGAACAGGTCTGACTTACTGCCGGCTTTGTGGACCAAACTCACGCTCCTCTGGTACAGGGACTAAATGGCCCTTAGCAAAAGACTATCCACCCCATGTTCCTGGAGCGTCCCCCACAGGGTGCCTCTGGGGACACGGTCATAAGCCTTCTCCAAATCCACAAAACACATGTGGATTGGTTGGACAAACTCCCATGACCCCGCCATCATCCTAGCAAGGGTAAAGACTCGGTCCACAGTTCCACGGCCAGGACGAGAACCGCATTGCTCCTCCTCTATATGAGGCTCAACCATCGACCGGACGCTCCTCTCCAGTACCCTGGAGCAGACCTTTCCCCGGAGGCTGAGGAGTGTGATCCCCCTATAGTTGGAGTACACCTTCTAGTCCCCCGTTTTAAAAATTGGGACCACCACCCACTGGAACTGCCCCCATTGACCATGCAATTTTGCAGAGACATGTCAACCACGACAGTCCTACAACATCCAAAGCCTTGAGATACCCAGGCCAGATCTCATCCGTCCCAGGGGCTCCGCCACTGCATAGTTGTTTGACTACGTCAGCGACTTCTGCCCCAGAGATTAGACAGTACATCCCCAGGTCTCCCATCTCTGGTTCCTCCTCAGAATGCGCATAGGTAGAATTGAGGAGCTCCTCAAAGTAATCCTTCCACCACCATACTATAGCCCTAGTTGACATCAACAGACCCCCATCCCCACTGTAAACAGTGGGAGAAAGTTGCTACCTTCCTCCCCTGAGGCACCGGATGGTTTGCCAGAACCTTTTTGGAGCTGACCGATAGTCTTTCTCCATGGTCTCACCAAACTCCTCCTACGCCCAAGATTTTGCCTCGGCAACTGCCACTGCTGCACCTCACTTGGCCCTCCGGTACCTGTCTGCTGCCTCTGGAGACCCACAGACCAGCCACGTCCTGTAGGCCTCCACCTTCAGCTTGACAGCTCCCCTAACCTCTGGTGTCCACTGGGGTTGCATCAACTAGTCGACTAGTCTGCTTCACTGCTCTGGAGTGACTTTTTATGACTTTCATAGACTAGTCGCTGTCACGTGATAGTGACCGACAAGATGCAGTCCTCGGAAAAGACAGCAGGTGACGAGCCCCTGCGCGTTGGGAGGTGACGCGCTGTGCCAGAGCATCCGCGGTAAAACGGACATTTAACCAAATTGTGACCTTTACCCTCTTGCAATTTAACCTTCCCCTCACCCCCATCCTAACCTTAACAAGCTAGCGCATGCAAAGCTCTGATCGTTGACGCTCTCCAGACATCTGCGTCCTGAGCACGGCCACAGTAACATTATCAAATCAGGTGTCGCCACCTCAAAAACTAATTTAACACGCGATCGTTCATGCCGGCTCATTTTCCTATTATGTTTTCTGTCTTTTATTTGTGCCTGATGCGTTTCGCTGCTGTGGAGCGGGGCGCATCACCTGTTTTGTCCTCCGGTGACGCACCTCACCGGTGCGGCCGGCGTGCACTCTGCTGTTTTTGCGGAGGAGATGCAGGAAGATAATAAACAGGCAGGACAGAAAAGTAGTCAAATAAAAACAAGTTAGTTTTTGTACCTGCTGGTTGCAACAAACAGACACCATTGAAGGTAATCAGAAGTGAGGAACAGAAAATGAAATAATTATTTTAATGTTTAGAGCAGCAGGAACTCCGAGAGGCTGCAGACGCATCAGTGAGTTTGCGGCCGCTGCGCAGGGGGAGGGGGGAGAGGGCTGAAGCAGAAACTACCGTTGTTAAAAGAAATGTGTTTAATTTGAAAATGTGGGCGCAATTAGCGTTCCATGTCCCAATAGCCAGTTTTTGTGTCTGAAGATCCCACCTTGCTCTGCAACTCGATCCACACTGCACCAGACCCTTCATGTTCCTCCTGCAGGTGGTGGGTTCACAGGTGAGCCCATGTATCCGGTTCGGGCTGGGCCTGGCCGGGCCCCATGTGCGACAGTCCGGCCACCAGGCGCTCGCTCATGGGCCCCAACCCCAGGCCTGGCTCTATGGTGGGACCCAGGTAACCCTCTGGGTCGGGTACTCTGGCTCTTTGATCTCACTTCCAGTCTTCTGAACCAACAGCTATCTAATATTTCTGAATTTTTGGTCATTTAGGGCAATTAATATTTACTATTTAATAAAACAACAATATAATTTCTAGTTTAAAAACTTTTTAAAATTAGTTTTTACTTTTTAATGAACTTTAGTGAGATGAGGAGGCAAAAGAGCTTGACTAGCCCTTAGCCCATCAGTCCAGTCACAACCAAGCACTGTTTCTCCAAACTGAGGTTTAACAAACAAACTATAAACGGTAAGATGCTGATTGTGTAAAACCTTCCCACAGAAACAACCTCGTTCGCAATGAACAATCCATTTAAAGCAACAGGAACATGGAGATGTGGTACAAACCATTTCAACATCTGAGACCGGCCCAAAACTTGTCACATAGATGTCCGTCTTGACCTCGGTCACAGGGCCTGTTGGGTCAACCAAACAAACAATAAGTGTCACGTTTATTTCCGACTTCAAATGCTTCTGCCACAAAATCCAGACTTGGAGAGGAGACCGGTCCTGAAACAGTTTAGAGGACTTTCACCCTAACCCTGAAGAACAACACATAAAAGATGTAAAAATGTAAATGTGTTGGATTTGTTTCGCCTTGCCTGCCTGTCAAGCGTCAGTGTGGCTGCCTGGTGGAGGTTTCTGTTGAGAGGCTGCTGTAAACCATCAGTGAGGTCCCCTCTGTTGGAATAAATCTGCACCTCTCATCATGTGATGGATAAAAAACACTTTTAACTCCTGGACTGCATTAAGCATTTGTCCTGCAACAAACGCACGATTATGTAACCGCTCTCACTTAAATGTGCAAAGCAGTAAATCTGCACCACATCCAGGTTCTCCACACAAACCCCACCAGCTCTATGTCCTCTACTAAAGACCTCATGTTTGCTTTTATGAGCATTTTATCTAATGCCGTGACGTGGCTTGTGTGTATTTGGTAATGTTAAATAACATCCTGCACTTTAAGGCATTTTTTAACCTTTGTTGTTCCATTTTTGCATCTGAAGCCTGCAGCGTTCATCCGACTGGAGTTTAAAACACTCTAGTGAGCACACTTAACCTCAGACGTGTTCTTATAAAAGTGATGATAGTTTTTGAAAGAAAACATTTAAAATGTGTTGGTTGTACTTTAGTCTAAAATGTTGATTTTATTCAACTGAATGTTTTTTGCTGTGTTTATTCTCAACAATTGTTGTTTTCGTGTCTTTTCATGTCTGATCAATTGAATAAAGTTCCATTTTCTACATCTTTCATTAGTTGCTTATTAAAACAGTGTTTCTTTTCGAGTTTGCTGTTATAAAACGCCTATGGCGCTCATTTCCCTCCTCTAAATACCTCCAAATCCAGGTCGCAGCCTGTTGTCATAGCCGTCCAGAAGTCGGTCCAAAATGCGAGTAAAATTCTCCGGATAAATCTTATCATCCCTCTTTGTTTGTCCGCAGATTTTCTTGACACTGTTGGGAAACAGACGCAGGAAGTTTAGCGCCAAAGCCGCTGGGTGCGACCAGAGCAGCGGCGGGCTTCAGCACGTCGGACAGAGGCACTCACCAAGTGGTCAGGCAGAAGAAGTAGATCAGGGCACGAACCGAGGCAGCAGCTCGCCTCGCTGTCACCATCTCCTTCTTGTGTGCAGACACCATCCCTGCATGCCATACTTCACATGTCAGCGCGCCAGCCGCCTGCGTCCCGGGGAAAAGACGCGATACGCCGAAAGAGGACGCAACTTGGGCTCCTGCATGCGGTCTCTCCGTCAGGCGCGTGCCACATGCGCACGCGCGCTCACACCCCTTCACTTCACCTCCCCTTCCTCTGTCCTCCTCCTTTCCCAAACCACCCAACTCCGGTCACCTCTCATCCAGATCTGGACTGTTGCTGCTGTCCTTTTCCCTCCCTCCCTGTCTCACCCCTTTCCTCTCCCCCTCTCCTCCCTCAGATTAAACAGAAACAGTTCTAACATGCTGTCCAAACAACCTCGCCCACCCTGACCCCTAATAAAACACTTTTTACTCAGTTTCTATCTTTAAAGATACCTCTGCCCATCATTTGGCACTCCCAGCGTGCCCTTCGACCCCCGCCCATCACTCACTCACTCATTGCCTCATGGTGTCATTGACAGCTTAACCTACATGTTGAACTAGTTTCAGAAACGCATCGGCGACTGCCTGTATCAAGATTCAAATGGGTCAGTCTTGTCGCAATACGCAATTACACACACACACACACACACACACACACACACACACACACACACACACACACACACACACACACACAGGTACTGTAGAGGAACTGGGACAAGCCACATGCTGCTTCACAGATTTCTCTGCACCTGGGACAAACGCAAGACCTTCATTGTGTGTGTGTGTGTGTGTGTGTGTGTGTGTGTGTGTGTGTGTGTGTGTGTGTGTGTGTGTGTGTGTGTGTGTGTGTGTGAAGTGAAGGTGAACGCATCTGAATTCCTCCATCCACCTGGTTCATTTAGAACTCTCTCTCTCTCTCTCTCTCTCACACACACACACACACACACACACACACTCACACAGTTTACAGCAACAGAAGAAGAACACACACACACACAGATAGTTATTTACACAGCAGCTGAAGTCATTCAGTCTCCTGATCCCCTGCACGGCCGCCCACCCTAGTCCTCCCACAATACACCAGAGCAAGGCGGCTCTGTGGGGGATGAGTAATGCGAGCCTCCTTGTGGGGGCAGGCTTTCTTTTGAGTAATCTGTCTTCTGCTCTGTTGCTTGTCTTCTTAAACATGTGATTTCTGCTTGCTCCACTAATGGAGGCACTTACGGCAAACAAAGTTGTCTTGTTACTGACTCACCATCTGTCAAATACCTCAAAATGTCAGACATGCAGTTTTAGGAAAAGTCATGCAGCTCTTCTCTGCCTGCTGACCTTTTCCTGCCAGAGTGGCTGGTGTTTAAATTATTGTGCATGATGTTTCACTGTGTCAACATTTGTGGCCTGAAGACACACTCAGCACATGTCACACTGATGAATTGTTAGCTGCCTCTAATTTAATTTTTGTTATTGGGCATCTCTGTCCGGAGGTAGTTTGATCCACAGCAGAAAGGACTCCCATTCAGACCAGTGTATTGTTAATCAGTCTGAGTGTGTTTGTGCGTGAAGGAGGAAGGCTGTCCAGGTGAGATGTGGGTTTAGGATGAGGGTTGGGAGTGTTTTGGAAAAGGTGGAGGAGTCAGAACCTCTGCAGAAGCCATGTGGAGTCCACTAGCAGGACTATTGAAGTCTCAGCTTAAAGATCAACACACCTGGAGATGCTGCTAAAGAGACTCGCTGAGAGCAATCAAGCTGGGTGATCATTTAAGTGGAAATTAGATTTTGCTTGTTAATATAACTGCTGTAACACAAGATTTTAGAATAGCTAAAAATTAATTATTTTATATTCTACGTAACTGTATCACTTTAAACACAATTTTTTGTTGTGTGAATTCTTATTTTCTACAGTTGCTTTATTGATCTATTACATCAGGTCCTGCCTCCTCAAGCAGAAGTTCATTATTCAATTCAAATCAGGTGTGCCAGAGTGGGAAAACAACAAAAACTTGCAGGATGGCATCCCTCAAGGACCAGGGTTGGGCCCATCTGATTAGTACAGGCACATTGAAAGCTATTGTTTTTGTCTGGGTAACAGCACACACGCACACAGTGCTGGGGGGAAAGAAGTGCTTCTGCACATGCTAGCCAGAGCTGCACCTCCTCGATTGAAGCTAAATAAATAAAACCTAGGGTATGTCACTACTTTAGATCATCTAACACATCTTTGTGGAGCTGATCATAAAACTTACATCTAAAAGATAAATTTGTTCAGTGCAAGGCTTCCAGATCCATTTTTAAATGGCTAACACGCTGTGGAGACAACAGTCGTCAGAAATGGTCACTAGTACGGGCACACGCCTGGACTTTACACCACTGAAGCAATGAAGGTGTATCCTGATCTCTTCTGGATTGAGCGGGTTAATGCTTAAGGATCATTATGACAGTTTGTCTTTGGAGATGAACAGATGCTCTGTTTCATCTAACCAGGTCAGTAAACAGAAACACGAAAGAAACGACATGAGAGGTTGTCCGATCCAATTACAGAAACACATTCTGTTCCATTATAGAAAATGAAACTAACCTGGTCACAAAGGCATGAAAATCATTAACTACCTATAACCTGCTCATGTCTGGATGTGTGGGGCAGATACTTTACTGTTTTATTCTGTCATGAGACTTTGGCTCCAACAAACTCTCTTCATGGCTGTTGACCATTGCCTTTGGCGTATTTTATCTACTGGAAACTTGTAAAATTTAAGTAATTGTCTTAAATTCGTCTAGCTGCCTACAGCGTTGTACTTGTAAACCAGGCTGATTTTATTTTGCTGCAGTTTAGTCCAATTTAAAATAAAATATTGTTGTAACTCGTGTTCTTCATAGCAACAATAGTAGCAATAAGACCTCGTATTAGCTGATAATGTTATAGGTGCTGATGGCTGGGGGGAGGAAGGATCTCCTGTATTACAGCAAGTCTGAAGAAGCCTCTGACTGAAGATGCTCTGTTGTTGCATGATGGTGTCATGAAGAGAACAATCATGGTTGCACCAGTGGTTCCACAGTAGTCCCCAGAACCAAACCAGCCTTTTGGATCAGGTTGTTGAACGTTTTAAGGACACCGGTTCCTTCTGCTACCCCAACAGGTGATGGCCGAGGTGATAACACTCTCCACAGTAGACTTAAATTAGAGATGCAGCATCTTGCTGCAAACCCTGAACGACCTGAGCTTCCCCGTGAAGTACAGTCTACTCTGTCCCTTCTTGGAGATGGCGTCACCATTGTGTCTCCAGTCCGGTCTGCTGTCCAGGTAGACACTGAGGTATTTACATGGTGAAAGGGTGGAAACAATTGGAACATACCAGTACTGAAATGAAAAAGAACTATAATTTTTGGAACTGGGAACTTCATTCAAAAAATCAAAACTAAGAACCATGAGCTGAATTAGTTTTAAAATGTATGAATTGAACTTCTGAGTTCATATTTAAGGTGACCACGTGCTTTTTCCTGGCAAAAGGGGGCAGTACACACCTAAATCATCTCCAGCAAGCGGTATTTTTGTGATCGAGTAAGACTTCAGCTACGGATGGCAATTAGGGTCAAAAATCCCTGGGATCCCAACCTGACATGACAAGCACATCAGACTCCGTTTCATCACTGGCAACGAGTGAAGAGGTAAATGTGTAAAACAACAACGTTTGTAAATGACGGGAGTTTTGTAACCATTTGTTACAAATCAGGAAGTGCATTTTGTCCTCACAGGCACCCATAGAATGAAACATGTTGTCTAATATGACGTCGCCCAGAGACTGTTGAGCCGCCAATAATTTTCAGCAAGTGGGCATCATTTTATTTATTTTCAACAACATTTCCATTTCTGCATTTCCAGAGATTAACAGTAAAAACTACACATTGTCTCTTTAAAACAAACTTTCCAAACACCGGTAAAGAAATTGACACCTCAGTAGCATCAACGGTAATATTTCATCTTATATTGAGCCTGTCATTTATGTGGAAGGTGTAAAATATCATAATACAGGTCCCTTAAAGGGATATTTCACCACTAAGTGAAATTTGGTCTGTTGCCATGTCTCCCCGAGTAAAATAAGTAGGAAAAAGCATTTTGTAATCAGCCAAGTCACTCACCTGATCTGGCAGTATTCCGTTAGCTTTAGCTCAGCATAAACAGCTAGCATTTCAATCATTTCAATTAAAAAAAGACACCTACACCTTACTTCACTTAGGGTTGGAAAATCCCTTCAAAGTACATTCTCATTAGTCCGTACACAGCCAGTGATCGCCTTCCCTTCCAGTTTAGCTACCACAACAGACCAGCTGAGCATCCAAATAACCACAAACAATATCCTGATCCGCCTGTCAATTTTTTGTTGTTTCCTGTATGATCTGCATTCTTCTGGATTCTTTAAATATTTGGATGATTTCAAATAGCTTCCTAAGGCTCGGTTCACATGGCAGGATTAAAAACACGAGATACACACGTGGTGAAATGAAAATCATTGATGGTGTGCGGTCAAATGACAAAAACTCCACACTACACACACACACCTCCTGCAAAACTCTCAAGATCAAACATAAATTAACATGGAGTAAACAAACATGAGGAGGAAGAGGATTTGGATTCTTGTCCCTCCGTGCTTCTGACTCCTCACATTCTGATTGGCTGCTCATCACATTCAACCAGCAGAACGCTAGTTTGTCCTCGATATTGGGCCAGAGTGGTCCAGATGTGTTTTTAAGCAGATCAGAGCACTCTTAACACCACACACGGCAGGAATATTTGATGTACTTATCTTTATTATCATTACAGTTATTGGGCGCGTCCTTAAGGTTGACAGGGTCGAAGCAGGTCCGTCAGACTAGGAAACTGTCCAATTTCCTTTACTTTCAAATTAAAAGCCTCTTGTCACTGTCATTCATGTGCTCAGCCTTTGCAAAGCCACTCTAACTTATAACTGCTCTGTAAGTTAAAGAATCCCATCTGTCAACACAAAATACTAAGTATGTTTTTTTAAAGATTTCTTAAAAATAACAAAAGAGTAAATCTGTCAAAAGTATCTCACTGTAACCAGGGTATCACAGAAACGCTGGGCTGCTTGTGTTGAACAAAGAAGGCATGCTGTACCAGGTAGGGAGAAAGCAGCGCTTTTGTGCTGGGAGTTACGATTGATGAGGCTCATTGTGGCAGAGCAGGAAGCTAATGAGTCAGAACCACGAGTCAAGCTGTTGGAAATCACACCAGCACTA